TATTTGGGGTCACAAGTTTTTGCCATGAATATTTTGTGGGTCAGAAGATAAAATGTTTGGGAACCACTGGTATAGTGTAGTACAGTTATTCATTTTATTAAAAATAAACAAAACATTTCATACAATAAAACAATTATATTACAAGTATTTATATTCTTGGCTTCGTTATATCTCAAGCAACAACATTATTAATCAGTCTGTTTAGTGCTGCAGTCTTGAACACACTAAATAAATAACAGGACTGCCTGAAACACAGGACTTTTTTAATGGAAACACCATGACGTTGCTGATTAATGTCTGTCCAATTAGAATTTAAAACTTTCAACGAGTTTGTACTCATAAAAGTAAAAGAATAAACAAAATGATTAAACATTTAACTGTTTGGTTAGAACTCATACAGACCATAAACATGAATGTTAGGTTAATTGGTAACTAAAGAAGAAGCAGGATGCCTGCTGGAATCTGATTGGACGCAGGCTGAGCACGTGACCCGCGCACACCTGCAGCTACTTCTCAGCAATTAAAAACCTTTTCGAACCACAGAGGAGACTGCTTCTGTTGGATCCCAGCGGACCGTTATGGCAGAGTCCAGAGTCCAGCTGACCACGCTGCGTCGGGATGCGTCTGACTTCAGTGACGGACCGACCCGGGTCCAAACAGACCCGTCCCGGAGGAGGGCTGCCCCTCAGGGGGAGGAAACCCGTTCGGATGAGACGGTCCGACTCGTCCTGACACTGTTTGAACCGGATATGAGGATCTTTCCAGAGTTTAGCTACTGTCAGCTTATTGACAACAAGGTGGGGTCACATCCTGACTTTGTTTAGGAGAGCTGAGGGAATCAGGGAGGAAGAAACTGGGTGGAGGAGACAAAGTCCAGGGGTGCTTAATGTCAGATTGTGAAATGCAAAAGTGTTTTATTGTAATAATACAGCAGTGATGCTCCTATAAATTAAGCAAACTCTTAAAAAGCATTTTAGACTTTAGCCAACTTGAATTGAGTTGTCTCCATTTGAGGTACTCTGTCACTGTTAGATCAAAAGTATCTTACCTGAATTCAGAAGATATTTAATAGATTTAAACCAAAGGGCTGTTTCCCCCTAATGTCAGCCACTTGTTCAGAAAGCATTCAGTGATTTGAATGAGCACATGAAAGTGTCTGCTTCTCTGACTTCAAACAAGTTCACTTTGATGTGAAACTTGCCAGGTGAGGCGAACAGGTGAGCCGCTGAGCAGCGCTGAACAGGAAGTAAGTGATGCTGCCATGGCAAGAAAGTTGGAGGAAAAATATGTAAGTAGCTACAATGCAAGTCTCTTAAATTAAACCAAAATTTAAATTGTTTTGTCATTTTAAACGTTTAAAAAAACTAACTTTGGTATTGTCTTAGGGCGGTAAGCAAAAGAAAAAGGACCGTATTCAGGATTTGGTTGATATTGGATACGGTTATGATGAAGAGGATTCTTTCATTGATAATTCAGAAGCTGTGAGTTGCTGTATAAATACATCTTAAATGTTATTCAATATAAAAACAATGTTCAAGATATGAGATTATAAGTTGTTGCCTGATAGTTTCAGATGTCATTCTAAAGTCAAAAACAGTAAATACAAGTTTAGAAACATTTCTTGTGTATAGAACTGTACAACAGTCTTGAGTCAACTAGGGGTGTAAGAAAATATCGATACACTGAAATATCGCGATATTTCA